AATTAGAATATCATGATTCCAGTGTATACATGTAGTTCATTTTAATGCTTTAATGGTTTATTTTTTAATTGATTCAGAGGAAATGCAGAATTTGTGTGATGTTGGGACATTTTAACCAATGACCAGTGTTACTACTTTCAAATAAGTTTAGTAAATTGTATTTATTTCAGCTTTACCTCAATTAACAAAGCATTAGCATTAGTTTTAATAACACCGATAATGATGTGATTATTATGACATTCATTCTCATATTTAAGGGAGTGACTTTTTTAATTTGTTTAATTAAATGTGTATTTTTTTTATTAAGCTTCTATTAAAATATTTTATTTTAGTTATTTATTTATTTTAAGTTTATACTTAAATATACACTTGTATAACTCAAAAGTTCTTTGGGACAAATTGAGATCAGTTTTACACAGAAAAAAGGCTATAAATAATATGGTGTACAACAATAACATTTTCTAAGGCATTCAACTCCAAAATATTCAACCTCAAAACATTTTGAATATATTTTTTTAATTACATAATATCATAAATCACACAAAGGCACACCAAATATGAAAGATACTACAAGAATTCATTCTAAATAAATATTTACTATGACAAGATTGAAAAAATTTGGAACTTTAGGGTTAGTAAAAACAAGTTTCTATTGGTATTTTGGCAGGCTGTAAATATTTAGTAATGGCGGGTAATAGTGTAAGAAATCATCTTCAACATGAAATTAAAAATAAAATGTACACATTTTCTCAGTCTCACCCTTAAGCGATGGTGGTCCTCGAGGCAGTAACATGAAGGGCTCCACTTTCCCCTCCTGTTGATTGGAGCTGACTTTGGCTCCTGCGCTTAAAAAACGTAAATATTCAAACACTATTATCTTTAAAAACAATAACCTGTCCTTTACAATTATCCAATTCCCCCAAACAGTTTTTGTGAAGAGCATATATTATATGCATGCACATACGTATAACTATGCTCTTCACAACATGTTAGTTGAAGGAAATTGGATAAATATATAGTTCAGTCATGAAACTCTAGATGGCGCATTCTGACGGGGTGTTAACGTGACTGCTGATGTTCAGAGAGTTAAACGTCTTGGCACAAGCTGATTGGTTCATGCTGCATATGCAGGCAATGCGCTTACTGCCTTGCGTTTATATGGCTGGCTAGCATTCACTTGAGATTCCTGCAGCGTGCTTTCTCTGAAACGCTCCACCTGTATAGATCTCCTATGGGGTTATTTTATATGCTGTTTGTGCAGCAGCAGTATGTCTTAAATACTCATGGCACCGTATCGCCATATGCATTGGCAGTAGCAAGTTCCTGTACTTGCTTGCAGCAGCAGTAATAATCTACAACTACAGCAATAACCAACAGCAGCAGCAGTGTAGCAGATCTGTTCCGCCAAGACCAAATACATTAACATTGTCATATCCATCACCATACTAAAATCTTCAGAGAGTTGTCATGATTGAATCGCAAATATTCATTACAGTTTTAAATGTTAAAGTTAAAGTTGTTAAAAACATTTTCAATATCTTTCAATACTTTTTTTTAACAGTACTTTTAAATCAATACTTTTATTCAAGAACGATACATTAAATTGATCAAAAGTGACAGTAAAGGAATGTATAATGTTACAAAAGATATCCATTTCAAATAAATGCTGTTCTTTTGAACTTTCTATTCATTAAAGAAACTTGTAAAAATGCATCACAGTTTCCACAAAAATCTGAAGTAGCTCAACTGTTTTCAACATTGATAATAATCAGAAATGTTTCCTGAGCAGCAAATCAGCATATTAGAATGATTTCTGAAGGATCATGTGACTCTGAAGACTGGAGTAATGAAGCTGAAAATTCAGCTTTGATCACAGGAATAAATTACATTTTAAAATATATTCAAATAGAAAGCAGTTATTTTAAATGTAAATAATATTTCACAATATTACTGCTTTTACTGTATTTCTAATCAAATAAATGCCGCCTTGGTGAGCAATCAAACTTTTGAACAGTAGTTGACAATTTGAACACTTCACTATTAAACAGGTTAAAGTGCACTAACCTGGTTTATTTTTAGATAGAAAGGTGGCACTGGTCTGCAGAAACTGGAACCTGGAGTCTGGGAGAACATCAGTATGGCTTCTGCCTTCATTTATATATAGGGCTGGAATAACCCTGTGTGTAAGAGCAGCGTCACACATCATGGTGGACGTGTCTATGCAGATTAGCACTGTTAAAGCAGAGGGTGTGTATGTGTGAGATTAGAGTGGAAGTGCAAGCTACCGCATTAGTGTGGCTTGTAGTGAACAGAAATGTGACTGAATAAAGACACAAGTGTGGAATCTATCATGTCCTTCTCTTCTGCCTGGGCAGAGCAGATTTAAAGGAATAGTTCACCAAAAAATGAAAATTTGCTGAAAATGTACTCACTCTCAGGCCATCCAAGACGTAAATGAGTTTGTTTCTTCATGGGAACAGATTTGGAGAAATTCAGCATTTCATCACTTGCCCACCAATGGATCCTCTGCAGTGAATGGGTGTTTAAACTGTTGCTTCTGGCCAAATCCATAATCCATAATAACGCTTCACTGATAAATGGATTGTTTACTTTTCATAGGGCTCTTAAAAGCACGATATGCATAAAAGCACTGATTCAAAATGTGCAATGTGGGATGCAAACATCAAGGTTTCTTTGTTTTTAAGAATCTTGCAAACAGCAAAACACAGTAACTTTCAAAACTGAATTATGACTTAAATCGGCTCTGTCCTGTGGGGTGTGGCTCCATGAAAACTGATATCAAATCAATCAAATTCACTCACTCAAGTCATCATTCACTCAACTTTTTCCCCCTCAGTTCCAGTGCTGACGAAGTTTCTGCATATTGAATTTGTAAGGCAGAAAAAGTACAGATAGCGTTTATTACACTGAAAATGTTCCACTATTTCCTTTATTATTATCCTTTCTTCAGTATGTTTGGATTCCATTAAACATCCTTACCACAAAATTGATTGACATGAGAAGCAAAAGATATTGCATAAGATATTAATTTATCTTAAAGGGGTCATATGATGCTATTTTTAAAGATCATTATTTCGTGTATTTGGTGTAACAGAATATGTTGACATGCTTTAATGTTCAAAAAACACATTATTTTTCAAATACTGTACATTATTGTAAGTCCTCTATGCCCCGCCTCTCTCAAACACGTAGTTTTCAACAAAGCCCCCTCCTTTGACAAGCGCAGTCTGCTCTGATTGGCCAGCTGACCCAGTGCATTGTGATTGGCCGAACACCACAAGGAACGCACGCACGCTTCGGAAATGTAACGGCTTTCAAAGTAAATATCAAGACAGTTAATAATGTTGTTAATTTTACCATCAGTTCAAGCCCGAAAGGGCAACAGACACAGTGATGATGCAGTACACAAGCCGCGGTTAAGACAGCTGACGTGCTATGATTTCTGACAGGCAGTTCACTCTCATGTGATGTGACTCTGGGTTGTGCTGTTCTGTTGTAAATAAATCTTAACGAATGATTCCTAATTGCTTCTACTTTCGTAAGGCCAAATAAAGTGCTTTTGCTTTCGCACTGAAACACACAGCGTCTCCCTGACACGGCTGCATCAACACTACTGCGGTTCCTGAAACCACGCCGCCTTTATTTGCGTGCACATTTGGGCGGCATTATGCTAATATTTCCACATAGTGACGTAGATATGTGGGGGCGTGTTAGAACGAGCCGTTTTAGGTAGGCGTGGTTGACTTAACTTTTATAAAGAATATCTCTTTGGATTTGAGACTTTAGTCTTTGCAACTTTACAGATCTTCTTTATGCACCAAGAGCTTGTAACACTCCAAAGAGAAAGGAAAACTTGAAATCGCATCATATGACCCCTTTAAATGTATTTAGTCTTGTTCCACTCTCAAATGACTATTTATTGCACTGCATTATGGATCTTCTGGGCACTTTGTGTCATTGCTTCAGGCATTCTATATGGAAATATCTTGTTTTGCCAAAGTTTCTTAGGCGAAACATGATGCCCGGACCCCTTTGGACACTTTGGGAGAGTATGAGTCACAGGCATGAGCTCAACTTTAGATTGAGCAGCAGCTCTGGAGAACAGGCAACTTTCTTTCATCATGAACTTGAACGCAGAAGATGTAATGCCTTGGTACAATATGAAAGCTTGTCAAAGCAGATTAACAAGCAAGTTAAATCTAGTTGCATAACACAGGTTGGACACAGTCTCCAGCTTATAAATGGGCTTTTCATTAAAATTTTTGGTGGGACTAGCAGGTCATATGTATATTTTGTGTGTGTGTGTGTGTGTGTGTGTGTGTGTGTTTTTATCTGATCAAGACACTCCCCCTGATGCATTCGACACAATTGAACCTTCCTGAGCACCAAATACTGATTCAAAACAAAGCATCATGACTTTGGACACTTTGGGAGAGTATGAGTCACAGGCATGAGCTCAACTTTAGATTGAGCAGCAGCTCTGGAGAACAGGCAACTTTCTTTCATCATGAACTTGAACGCAGAAGATGTAATGCCTTGGTACAATATGAAAGCTTGTCAAAGCAGATTAACAAGCAAGTTAAATCTAGTTGCATAACACAGGTTGGACACAGTCTCCAGCTTATAAATGGGCTTTTCATAAAAATTTTTGGTGGGACTAGCAGGTCATATGTATATTTTGTGTGTGTGTGTGTGTGTGTGTGTGTGTGTTTTTATCTGATCAAGACACTCCCCCTGATGCATTCGACACAATTGAACCTTCCTGAGCACCAAATACTGATTCAAAACAAAGCATCATGATATCGAGTAAGTTAAAGCACATATGGCATGAGCAACACTGACCACAAGGTTCCTCTTTGATTTCCGCCATATACCCATGCGAGCAGTAGACGGTGCTTCCTATGCGAGTTACAGAAAACCACAGGTCACGTGATCAAGCTTTCACGGTCAGCGCTCTGTTCCGCTCTACTGTTGTTCCATGCATGGCATGAAGTCAATCGCTTATGTCTAAAAGTTATTGAGGTATGAAACGATGTTGATGTCAAAAATATAGCTTAAGAGGAAGAACCAAGGAGAACGAAGACAGACGGACAAAGATGGAAACGCAGAGCGAGGATCCCTCATTCTTGGGTGAGATAAGTATGATCATGATTGAAATAGATGTAGACATATATGGACATGCACACAAATGAGGAAACATGAATGTCATTGCATTAGACAAAATATCAAAGCAAGTGGTCATATCAAATATCAAAAGCAAGCAAATCTGAATATCTAAAATGCTGCGGGATCTTTATTCTTCACTAAACCAACAAAGTGTGTCACAATACTTACTTTCCTCATTTTCAACACTATATCTTGTCACAGCAACAAATAGCTTTTTGTTTTTCTTTAAATCTGTGTTTGTTTGACATTTGCTGTGAAATTTTGTTATTTAATGCAATAAAACTCAGATATTTTTTAAGTATGGCTTAGGTCTGTACATACCTTTTGGGGTAATTCAGGCTTTGTCTCACAATTAAAAGACAGTGACATGACACCAAACATTACCTTTCTCTCACAGACAAGAGGCCACAGGCAGTTGAAGCTAATGGAGGAAGTCTGAGTCACCAGCCGTCTTCTCTTCCTGAACTTCGCTTGGTTTTACTAGGCCGCAAAGGAGCTGGGAAAAGCTCAGTGGGAAACACCATCCTAGGCCTGGCGGGAGGGTTTGAGACAGGCAAACCGACCGAAGAGTGCGTGAAGAGGCGAGGCGACGTGGCAGGAAGGCGCGTCACAGTTGTGGACACCCCAGGCTGGGAATGGTACTATTCTGTGAATGGGACTCCCGGTTGGGTGAGGAGAGAAACGAAGCGAAGCATGACCTTGTGTCCACCAGGTCCCCACGCCGTCCTTCTAGTGGTGAGATCCTGTACATCAGTGACAGCCGACTACCATCGGCAGATCGAGGAGCATCTGGAACTGCTGGGCAAAGCGGTGTGGGATCACACGCTGGTGCTGTTCACCCGAGGGGATGAACTGGGCTCCGTTCCCATCGAACAGAGGATTCGAAACGGCGGCAAGGCCTTCCAGATGCTCCTGGAACGATGCGGAAACAGGTTCCACGTTTTGGAGAACAAGCGGCGCGTTGACGATGGATCACAGGTGAAGGAACTGATGAGGAAGATGCATAAACTGATGGAAGAGAGAGGGGGGAGATATTATGAGACAGATCTGCTGCTTCTGGAGCTGGAGGTGGAGAGCAAACGGAGGGCACGAGAAAGGAGGAAAAAACAGAGGCTGATGGAGGCGCAGACGCACAGAGGAAGCATCAGAGGCGTGCTGATGAGTGAGTAGACTATTAAAAGTGATGTTCTTCCTTAGTATTTCTACTTTTCTACTATCCTTATTCAGATGAACGCAATTGTTAACATTAAAATACTGTTTCAGGTCAAAATGACAGAGAATTAAGGCTCAAACAAGATATACATTTACTTGTGATGCAAAATGTCATGAGTTTAAGCCTAAAATTTACCAAAATGCACTGAATTTGTGCTTAAAACAAGAAAACATAACTGCTAATGCGGTATGAAAAATTAACTCAAAGGCAAAACAAGTGTATTGTTTTAAACCCACTGACAGTTGTTTTCTTGTTTTAAGCATAAACTTCAGAAAACAATGTCATGTATCTTGATTGAAGTAAAATAAGACAAAATCACTTTTTTTGTAGTTCTTTCATTTCAACAGAGACAGATTGTATATTATTGTATTGAGTGGAAGTCAGAGCTATTTTCTAACTGTGAGTTTGAGATACTTGCATAAATGTTTCTCTAGAGATGAACAATTGAACAATAGGTTCCAACTGTCTGACAACACTGGATTTTCCATGATCTTTTTAGACTTAGAAGATTTTTTTGATTAATTCCAATTGCCAAATTATCTATTCAGATTCAATTTCTAAAATGGTTTGTCAAAAATCAAACAGTTTCTTTGATTTGGTTCTAAGAATGATTCACTCACAAAAGAATGATTCACTCAAACATTTTACCAAACACTGGCTGATGAAATATTTTAGAGCAGAGCGTAACTACAAAAATTTACATTCACTCCAGAAATGTCCATTACTTCTATTAATTTTCATGCCTTTTCCAGCCCTTGTAAACACAATTTTAACATTCATAATCATGAGAACCACGTTGGAAGTTCTGTACAATGCTGTATCTTTCAGAAACCCTTATATTTATTGAAATTACAGCATTTTCAACAGCAAAGATTGAAGGTTATAAGATCAAAAACTTGTTTCAATAAATAAAGAATTCTGCAAACTGCAGCAGTGTACAGGACATATCTTTTCTCCACAAAATCATCACACAGAAATAAATAATTTGTCATGATTTACTCACTTCATGTTGCTCCAAGTTTGTATGTACATTCACCTATTTCTTTCTGTAAAACACACACACACACACACAAAACTGTTAATGCAGCAATTTTCCATATAATGCAAAAATAAATAAATAAAAATAAAAAAGTAAATAAATTAAAATAATAATAATCTCACAAAAAACATGTATAGTATTCATGGTATTTTTTATTTTTTTGGAGATGTTTACTTTAAAAAATAAAAATAAAAAATTCCTCAAAAAAAATAACAAAAATACATTCAGGGCCCTATTTTAACGATCTAAACGCATGGTCTAAGGCGCACGGCGCAATTGCACTTAGGGTGTGTCCGAATCCACTTTTGCTAGTTTAAGGATGGGAAAAATGGTCGGCAAGCCCGGCGCATGGTCTAAAAGGGTAGTCCCTATTCTCTTAGAGTAATGGGTGTGTTTTGGGCGTAACGTGCTATAAACCAATCAGAGTCTCATCTCCCATTCCATTTAAAAGCCAGTTGCGCTCGCGCCATGGCGAGTTTGCTATTTACATGGCGGAATGTAATTTTTCATTTTTTAAAAATGTTTGTGTGCTGCTGCGCATCCCTGTGTGTGTTATAAGCAAAGTGTACGTGCGTTGTGCACCCACCTATAGGCACATATTACTAGTGCACTCTTAGACCAGGTGCACTCTAGTGCACTCTTTAGACCAGGTTTTTGTTCGTCAGTATATTTTCAGTTGCCTCAAAATAGCAATGCGCCTGAACACACCTCGTTTCAAGATCAGCACGCCCATGGGCGCACAAATGCATTTGCTATGTAAACAACGTGGCGCAGGACGTGAAAATGACAACTGCATCGGCCTGAAACCAAGCGGCAACCTCCTGCTCTCTCTCATGAAGCCAGCGCGGAAGTGACTTTAACTGTAATTCGTCAACTGGCCGCTAGAGGCTTGCTGCAAAAGGGAGTCAATCCCATAGCCTCCCCATGCTAAAATGGCCAACTTTAAGGCAGAAAAAAACATATTTACAGCCTGGTTCAAAAAATGATTTTGGTCTATATAGCTAATTTGCCCTTCATGACAACTGTGAGGGGGGTGCATTTTTTTTATAAGTCATCCATTTAAATTATATTAAGCCTTAAAGTTCTGCATAATTAAGGGCGTGGCCACTTGAGTGACAGGTGGATTGCCGCTGCTGTCACCACCGTTGAGCTAGGTGGGCGTGGTTTCAGCAACCAGCTCCCGCCTTTTTGCCCATTTTCAATTATCCGGGAGTGACGCGCTGCCAAGATGGTGATGGCCGGCTCTGCCCACTTTGAGCTTCAAAAACGCTCTTCAGAAAACTACGGGTGACGTCACGGACACTACATCCATGTTTTTATACAGTCTATGACTGAAACTAGCAAAAAACACTTGCGTCGTGCCTGGCGCCGCATTGCGCCGGGTGTCTGATAGGGCCCTTAAAGTGAATGATTATGTAAACGCCAATTATGGAATTAATTAATTTATAATGTAATTTCAGCAGCAAGGCTATTTTCAAGGTGAAAATGGAATAAATAACAAAAGTCAATTAACAAAACACAATATAAGATATTTAATGTTAATACAAGACAAAAATGGTAAAATATGTTCTAAAATGCAGGTGATACTGTACATCAGTTAAATACTGTACATCAGTTAAACACATCTCTGAATTATATTTTTGTCTATTTACATTAAAAACAGTACAGTCCACTAGAAATGCAATTATGTAAATTCTATGTGTGATCTCAATGCATGCAAACACTACAATTTTGTAAGATCTTAATAGAGGCCTACATAATACATTTTCAAAGTGATGTAGTTACCTTTGTTTGACAAACACACTTAATAATAAAAATAATAATAATATTGTAGCTTAATAATATTTCAACAAAAGCCATTATTTACAACTAAAAGCTTCATTTATTTATTTTCTTTTTTGTGTGTATTGTTTCTCCTGTCTCTGCTAGATGATAATCCACAAACTGAAGACCTGGATGAGAGGAATCTCTTCTCCAGAGGCTCACGGCGTCTCCCGGAGCTGAGACTGGTTCTGCTGGGAGAGAGGGAGACGGGGAAAAGCTCCGCTGGGAACGCCATCCTTGGAGGACCGGGATACTTTCAAAGCAGAGCAGCCACAGAGGAGTGCTCGAGACAGCAGACGGAGGTTTCTAACCGACTGGTGATGGTGGTGGATGTGCCCGGATGGGAGGGTGGACCGGAGGGATTAACTCCAGAGAGAGTGAAGCGAGAGATTGGACTGAGCGTGACACTGTGTCCTCCTGGACCTCATGCATTTCTACTGGCGTTGAGAGTGGACGCGCTTGTCCAAGCACAGTCAGTGCGGGAGCACTTGGAGCTTTTGGGAGAGGCAATTTGGAGACATACGCTTCTTTTATTCACGAGGGGCGACCAGCTACGAGAGGGAGTCACCATCGAGCAGCACATCCAAGGAGGAGGAAAGGATCTTCGTTGGTTGGTGGAACGATGTTCAAACAGGTTCCACGTCATCAGCAGCAACTCTTGTTTGGAATCTTGGAATTCCAAAACACAGATAACGGAACTTCTGGAGAAGATCGAGAAGATGGTGGCGAGAAATCGTTGCGAGGCCTTCTCACCACTAGTGCATGAGATTCAAGACTTAGGAAGACAAAAGAATGAGAAATTCCAGCTGAAGGTCAAGGAGTTTAGCGAGAAGCTTCAACGGCAGGAGGAAGAACTGAAGAAGATGAAGGAACGAGAGGTCAGGAGCATTCGGTGGTTTTTCGAAAGACGCAAAAAAGACAAAGTACAATCTCCTGGGAAGACTGAGAGGGAAGAGGTGCTGTACCGAGGCGAAGATGACAGGAGAAGCGTGATGGGTGAGCTGGAGGAGAGGATGGCGTGGTTGACGGAAGACAAGGAGCGAGAGATACAAGAGCTGAGCGCTGAAATCAGCAAAGTCATGGTGACTCTCCATCAGGCACTGAAAGAGAAAGAGCAACTGCTGATGAGATTAGAGGAGAGAGAGCGAGAGGGGGAAGAACTTAAAGAGAAAGTGGAAGAACTTCAGATGAAACTGCTGGAAATGGAGCGCATGGGTGCCGAGAAAGAGCAAGAATGGAAAGAGAGCGAGGCTGAGATTCAGCACGCACACCTGGATGAGATAAATGAACTTCAAAGCAAACTGTTGGACGCTGAGAAAGATAATGATAGGATGAGAGGAAAGGTTGAGGAAACTCAAAAAGAGATGGATGCATCACAATGCAGGTATGAAGAAGAGGCTGTTTGGCAAAAGCAAGAGATGGAGAATAAACTGAAAGTAAAGGACAATGAAACTGAAATTTTTTTAAGAGAAATCGAGGGGGTGAAACTGAACGCTGAGGGCAGAGAAAGAGAACAAAGCGAGAGATTCAGTGAACAAGCTGAGAAGAGAGAGAAAGAGATGGACAAGCTGAGAGAGGTGATAGAGATGATGACCAAAGAGATGGAGCAGCTACGGATGTCCTATCAAAAGCAAGTGAAAACAACAGAAGCCGAGAGAGAAATGCATGCAGAAACTGTGGAGAAATACAACACTCTCATTGATAAACTCGTAGGGAAAGATGAGGAAATAGAGCGAACCATGAGAGAGAAAGAAAAGGAGCTACATCGAAATGCTGAAACGCAAGAGAAACTTCAGCAAAAAGATAATGAAATAGTTCAATTAAGACAAAGAGACCAGAAAAAAGTGCAAGAAATTGAGACACTGAAGCAAAACATTAGCGAAAAACAGAGGGATATAGATAAGTTAAAAGACACTGTGCAGGCAAATACGGAAAAACACGCAGCTGAACTTCAAGTTTTGAGGGAGGAGTTGAAAGCAAAAGAAATTGTAATAGACAAATTAAAACAAAGAGACCTGGAGAAAGACAAAGACACTCACAAACTAAAGCAAAACATTAGCGAAAAACAAACTGATATTGAAAACTTAGAAGACAGAATTGAAGAAAATGCAGTACAACTAAAACTTTTACGGGAAGAACTGAAGGTAAAAGATGACGAAAACGAAAAATTAAGACAAAGCGACCAGGAGAAAGAACGAGAGATTGACATGCTTAGGCAAAACATTAACGAAAAACAGAAAGACATTGCAAAGTTAAGAGATGATATTGAAGCACATATTGAAAAAAGTGCAGCTAAACGCAAGCATTTAGAGGAAGAGCTGGAAATAAAAGAAGAGAAAATAACCAAATTAGGACAAAGAGACCTGGAGAAAAACACAGAAATTCACACACTTAAGAAAAATATTATTAGCCAACAGCAGGATGCTGAAAAATTAAAAGACAGCATGCAGTCGAATATTAAAGAAAGTGCTGCTCAATTGAAGCATTTAGAGGAAGAATTCAAAATAAAAGACAACAAAATAATCCAGTTAAGAGCGAGAGACATGGAAAAAGACAGAGAAATGAACACAATGCGAGAAAACGTTAGCAAAAAACAGAAAGAGGTTGAAAAGTTAAGAGAGAGTATTAAGACATATGTCGAGGAAAGTGCAGCTAAACAAAAACATTTAGAGGAAGAACTACTGACAAAAGATGCTGAAATAACCAAATTAAACCAAAAAGACATGGAGAAAGACAATGAAATGGACAGACTGCTGCAAAACATCAACAAAAAACATGGAAGAGAAATAGAAAAGCTGGAAAACAGCATTCAAGCAAATACCGAAGAAGCTGCTGCTCAACTAAAACATCTAGAAGAAGAGTTTGATGCAAACATAGAGGCCTACAAAAGAAAGAATGCAATGAAGAAAGAGGAGATGAAAAACATATAGAAGCGTTAGGAAAAAGGGAGCAAGAGCTGATAAAAGGCGAAGAAGCACTTTCTCAAAGAGTGCAGAAGCTGAAGAGTGAAGAAATCTATTTGGAGAAAAGACAGCAAGTCATGCAAAATAGGGAACAACAGCATGAAGACATGTTGCACAGTCTCAAGAAACAGCAGGATGTTTTGAAAGACAGAGAATGCTCTTTAGATACCAGAGAAACAGACCTGCGCCAACAGGAATCAGAGCTCGCTATGAGAGATAAAGACATGACGGATAAACACAAACTTTTGCAGAACCAAGAATTAGATCTGAAAAAGAAAGCGAGCGATGTTGAGAACAAAACACAAATGCTAGAGCTCCAGAAAACAACACTAGATGAAAGAGAGAAAAAGCTTGAAGAATGTCAAAACCAATTGGACAGCAAAATTCTGGCACTAAATAATGAACAAGACAAGGTGAAGAAGAAGCGAGAAGAACTTGAGAAATGGGAGAAGTATTTTCGCAAAGAGTCATTCTCAGGGTATCAGCGATTGACAAACAGCGCTGAATTTAATGGGAAACGAATTGAACCCGAAGACATCCATCGAATGCATCAAGAAGTAGGAGTGGATGGTGGCGTTTGTGATGCAAAAGACACCAGAAGTGAAGAGCAACTGGAGTTGGCTACTATTAACTGTGCAAATAACCGATTGGTAAAGAATCAAAGGGTTAAACGAACACTGGAGTCCAAGCAAAAAGGGAAAGATGGTGAGAGTGACAATTCTGATGGCGAAAGTGAGGAAGACTTCTTTGAATCTTCAAGCACCAGTTTCCAACCTGCCCTACATACACCCTGGCCTGTGTCTGAGCTGAGGCTGATGCTTTTAGGAGACTCCTGGTCGTCCCGTCACCCAGCGAGATGCACCATCGTGGGGCCTGATGCAGAAAGAAGCAACCCTTGGAGGGGAGAGATATCCGGCAGGCAGCTCACTCTCGTAGAGCCTCAGGGCCTGAAATGGAGATCGGCATCTGACAGTAAAGACATATTTCAAAAACATCTCTCTCAAAGTGTCTCTCTGTGCCAACCTGGACCACACGCCTTCATCCTGGTGATTCCTGCTTACGTATCCTTCACTGGTCCGTACAGGTGTGAGGTGGAACGTACCATGTCTGCGCTAGGAGAAGCATCGTGGAGGCACACTATTGTTCTGCTCACCTGGGGGGAAACATTAGGAGAGAGCGTCCAGCAGCATATTAAGAGAAACAGCGACCTGGAGCGGCTGGTTCGAAAGTGTGGGGATAGATGCCATGTGCTTGGCAATGGACACCGGGAATCTGATGTGGTGAAGTTGCTGGAGAAGGTGGAGGAGATGCTGGGAGTAAAAAGTGGACAATACTACAAAGTCGGCTGAAAATGAGCGTTAAGGATTTAAACTGAGCCTTTATGACTGTGAATGATATTTAAATTATGATAAATCCAACAGATTGTCTTGACATTCTTGGCTTTATCTGAAAATAAACCATTTTCAAACCACTTTCGTTTAGAATTAAATATTTGTTTTTGTACAAAAGAGTTACAGCAAGTCATGCATGCAAACGCTCTTTTCTCAGTTTTTAATACTATACAATGAGGTAAAGTACATGATTCATTTCCAAACCGCCTCAAGTAAACAGACATATTTGTAACTATTATTTCAGTCTGAAAAATTAATCTTTAAGATTTAGCCGCGCTCCTCATAATGTGTTGCGAGAATTGGAAAGATATAAAGACGCTCAATGAGTTACATTTAACAATCATTCAAGCATTTTCAGGGATTCTCCGAAACATAAACAGAATGGATATTCCATTAGTGCCTCAGTGAAGTGACGTCTTGCTGTGCTTCCGCTGCGATTCTGACAGGTAAATTATTACCTTTAAAAAAGGGGGTCTGTTTCGTCTGAAAGAGAAACTCTTTCCATCGAGTGAAAAACACATTTGAAATGGAATTTTCTTTTATGGCCCTCAGACAGCAAACCCAAACGCTTACATATAATCTGAGGTAATTGCGTGATGGCATCGGATATTCCTCCGCCTCGCCATTACGTGAGTCGTTAGATGAGTGAAATGTTGGAAAATAGTCCCTCAGCAGCGTTTCATTTTCCCCCACAACATTTGTATCTGTCTGCAGGGGGTCTATTTCCAAGCCGTTTGAAAGAATCTATAATTTATCACTTATGACATCAAGTAGAGATGTTATTTTATCAGACCACGTTGTTAGATTTTAGGGAAACACTTCAATTAGAGGAAAATAATATGCAATCTAACTGAAAGTGTGTCTGAGTGCATTAGTCGAGTCCTTTCATTTGTCCATTAATTGTTATTTTAGGTTTTCTAGTCATTATCTGCACTATAGCCTTTTAAGGTAATGAACACGAACATCATTTCACCAGCATAAACTTCAACCACTCTGGTCACCTCTTCAGCCACTAGACTGTTGTGCATTCATTGCCATGCTTATTGTATGTATAGTGAATCCAGCTATCTCTAATGGATGATAAAACCTCTTGACAATTCTAATTAGCCTAAATTCACAGCAATTACCATATGCCCATTTCTCTTTTGGTCAGATCAGATCAAGCAGTGCTGAAGATTTTATATGTTCGGGTGTAAAACATTCACTCCATTCATGTTTCTCCTTCTAATCACATTGTTTTAGTATGACTGCATGAAAAGTTTCCAAATGCAGCATGTGTAACAGAACATGTTTACTAACAGACACATTTACAAAGTTCATTATTGCGCAAAGGTGTCGACAGTCTGTGAAAAGGGTTCATCCAAATATGTCTGGTATATAGGCCTAACTATTTAAAGGAGTTCTTTATTAATCCATAAAATTACAATTATGCAATGTTATGGCAAGCTCTTACATCAATGGCGTGGTAAGGGACAGCATTGCAACAACGCGTTGCAACTGTCCCCACACTGACAGCCGTGACAAAACTTGGTATATTAGCTTGACTCAATATCTTTGACACATGCTAACTATGCCTATTAGAAACTAAGAAAACACAGATATACGTAAATCATATGTTTGACAAGTTTGACAGTATGACAAAAAAAATCTGATGATTAAAATAAATTCTTTTTTTTTTTACCATGAAAATTATTATTTTTAGAAGGAATGGTCACATGTGCCTGATTTCATCCAGGAAGGTCAAGAGGCTGATTAAAGAAATAAGACATGTTGCGACCGTCCCCACTCTCCTCTACTTTTGAATGCTTACAAATGTCATTAAACTTCAGTTCACATATTAGCTAATGCTCATTTTTACATTTACAAATATTGTGAAAATATAGCTTATAGACACTTCACAAACTATTCATGTTAATATATTCATTAGCTCCTAATCACAGTCTGTAAAGGTCATATATTTGGTCTTTGTTTGTTGTGCTGACTTTTACTATTTGCACATCTTAAACCATTTATTAATAATTTGTTAATGTTTTTGCAGTACCCAATCTAAAGTCAAGTCAAGTCAAGTCACCTTTATATATATAGCGCTTTTAATAATACAGATTGTGTCAAAGCAACTGAACAGCATTAATTAGGATAATAGTGTGTCAATAATGCAAAATGACAATAGTAAACACTCATTTTTCAAGTCAACAATATCGCTGGAAATGAAGTGTCCCCAACTAAGCAAGCCAGAGGTGACAGCGGCAAGGAATCAAAACTCCATCGGTGACAGAATGGAGAAAAAACCTTGGGAGAAACCAGGCTCAGTCGGGGGGCCAGTTCTCCTCTGACCAGACAAAACCAGCAGTTCAATTTCAGGCTGCAGCAAAGTCACATTGTGCAGAGGACTCATCTGGTTCCTGTGGTCTTGTCCCGGTGGTCGTCTGAGACAAGGTCTTTACAGGGGATCTGTATCTGGGGCTCATCTAGTTGTCCTGGTCTCCGCTGTCTTTCAGGGCAAGACAAGTGGAAACTATTCATCAATTGTAAATGTTTATAAACATTTACTAATCATTAGTACCTTTATGAGCAGTCATTTTGATGGCAAAAAGTGTCCCAAATGATCGGAATTCACCCAATCTTTACAAATCATTTTTTTTTGTTTTTGCAGTACCCAATCTAAAGTGGAGACTATTCATCATTTGTAAATGTTTATGAACATTTACTATTTTTTAGTATCTTTATTGGCACTGGACTTTTAGCTACTTTAACAATGTTTGTGTAAGGAGTGGTTAGTTAAGTTTAGCTAAATGCTTGGTAAAGACATATCACACATTGTAATTTGGGTGCAAAACATGTTTTTATCACCTCAACACTTATATTAGTATACTATTGTGTATCAGAAAACAGAATATTCCTTGAGTCATACATCAACAGGAGGGGGAAAACAATTTTTTTAAAGAAAATACTTGCAATGCAATATAAACAGATTGAAGTGTGTTCCCTTATAGTAATCAAATTGACCCCTGTACACTTGTTTACCACTTACCCAACCTTAAACCTACCCATACCACCAAACCTGTCCCGTATCACACCTCAACAGCAGCAAAGGTGTTGTGCATTAACAAAAGCTTTTAATCACTGTATAACATCTGTTAAAATCATTTGTAGATTTTCAAGATGTGCATATATGAATTAGAAGTTTAATGACATTTGTAAGCATTTTAATTTACATGAAATGTTAGTTATTAGGTAATGTTTAATACATGTATTAGTCAACATTAACAAGCACATTATTTCACATTTCTAGATGTGAATATATGAACTAATGATCCGTTAAGCAATACATAATGTTTGTTAAGGATTTATTAATGAAAGTTATTATAAAGTGTTACCATCTCTTTAAGTCAGTCCACTGTGAGCAACTGAAATGCTTCTCTGCAAACTGTGCGTTCATCTGGAGAGCCTCTTGTGTTCAAAGGGCGGACCGGGTGAACGTGAGCCATGCAGGTTTACCGCATGCTGCGTTCCGTGTGAAAGAGCCTTAACAGCATGCGTTCTGGAGACTCCATCCAGGGGCACAACTGCACATTTGCTGTGGGGTATGCAAGATCAGTGTTGGTGCCCCCCTGTATTCTAGCACATGAGACTAACTCCAACAGAAAACTTCTTAAGTCAATGACCAAAAGACCATTAAAGGAACACTCCACTATTTTTGAAAATAGGCTCATTTTCCAACTCCCCTAGAGTTAAACAGTTGAGATTTCAGCCGATCTCCGGGTCTGGCAGTAGCACTTTCAGCTGTAGCTTAGCATAGATCATTGAATCTAGATCATCAGCGCCTGAAAATAGGCTAACTTCTGCCAACATAACCAACGTGACCACCTGCTTGTACAGGGAGCGTGCTGGGGACTATTTTCAGGCGCTGCGTAATATCATTGTGCCTGCTGCACCCATGGTACGGCAGCAAAGTTCCTTGATTATTACGCCGGAATGAGAGCATAGTTCCTAGCCATATCGGCCTAGAAAATCACAACTTTTCATTTTCCGTCGGTCTTAGTACACGAACTAACTACAGAAGAGTCCAGTTTTAAATAGGAAAAATATCGAAACTCTTTGGTCATTTTTGAGCGAGATGCTAACGGTCTAATCAGATTCAATGATCTATGCTAAGCTACAGCTAAAAGTGCTACCGCCAGACCCGGAGATCGGCTGAATGGATTCGAAAAATGGTAAAACTCAACTGTTTATCTCTAGGGGAGCTGGAAAATTAGCCTATTTTTTTTAAATAGTGGAGTGTTCCTTTAACTAAACTTGGGCATGGAAAGATACAAACTCATCAGGGGTGAAAAAATTGACAAAAAGGTGAGAAAAAGAAAAGTGTGTTGTATAACATCCCCTTTAACTTCTAATGGCTGACCCCAAACAGTAGAAAAAGTAGTTTTTTTTTGGTTTTTTTAGTAGCCTCATTTTCTTCAGACACATGTAATACTGCTCACTTTTTAGTTAGGTAATTTCATCTGCATTTGTTTTTTCTTTTCATTTTTACTTATAAAGATAATTCATGGAAAATTGTCACGCTTAAGTGGAAGATGTCTGCAGTGCCACCTGGTAGAAATACAATTACTGTTGAAATGAATGTCATGATATTCCCACTATAACCACTAGATGAAAGCAGAGGATTATTTGCCATTTCCACTCTGCAATATAGTCACTAGCCACTACAGTGCCTTGCGAATGTATTCATACCCCTTCATTTTTTTCACATTTTGTTTGGTTGCTGCCTTATGTTAACCTGCTTTAAATTAGTTTTTTCCCCACATCAATCTATCAGTCCATACACCATAATTGTCAAGCAACAACAAAAATTTTTTTTTAACATCTTTGCAAATTTATTAAAAATAAAAAACTAAAATGATTCCATTGCATATGTATTCAAGTCAAGTCAAGTCACCTTTATTTATATAGCGCTTTTAACAATACAGATTGTGACAAAGCAACTGAACAGCATTAATTAGGAAAATAGTGTCAATAATGCAAAATGACAATAGTAAACACTCATTTTTCAGTTAAAG